TTATCAGGGAGTGGTACTGATGGCTTTATAAGGTGAGCAAGTGAGCTTATTAACTCTCCCTCATGCCATTCTCACCACGAGAAACCCTGGTCACCATGGGACCCTGTGGAGGGTTCCCACTCAGAAGAAGGCCTTTACCATATAAGTCCCCTGGAATGTGGACTTCCCAGCCTCCAGAACTCTAAGAAATAAATTTCATTTATTTAAAAATTACCCAGATTCAGGTATTCTGTTCAAAGTGATGGAAAATGGACTAATACACACTGCTTCATCTATCCATCGATTTATTCCTCTTTCCACTCATTTATGTTTTGATACATTTCTACATTAACTTGCAGACATCAGCACACTTCATCCTCAAATACTTCAGCTTGCATACCATTAACTAGAATTCAATATCTGCTTGTAATTCTTTTTTCTTCTTTTGAGGCAAAATTTACAATGAGGTAGATGTACGAGTGTTAAGCACATCACTTGATTGATTAGTTTTGACAAGTTCACCTTGTAACGAAAACTGCTATCAACATGTAGAACATTACCATCATCCCAGAAAGTTCCCTCATGCCTCTTCCAAGTCAATTTCCATCTCCACCCAGAGGCAACCATGGTTCTGATTTTTTCCATCATAGTCTGTTCCAAGACATATAAATGGAACAGTATGAGTACAGTATGTACTCACTGTTGTGAGGCATAAAACAGTATGTACTCTTGTTGTAAGGCATCTCAGCATGTTTTCAAGATTCACTCATGTTGTTGTATGTCATTAGCTTGTTCCTTTTTATTTCTGAGAACTGCCCCCGCATATGAACATACTGAAGTTTTAAAATCTAATTTCCTCCTAGTTTTTGACTACTATAAATAAAGCTGCCATGAATATTCTTGTACAAAAAAAAGTGACTAAACGTATACTGCTCCAAATGACAGCTGCATTCCCCTTATGATACGTTATTTTACATTCTTCATGAAGTACTTATAATGTATTAGGAATGTAACTACCTGGAACATAATTTAAATATGTGGTTCAGGGGCTGGCCAATTTGCTCAGTTGGTTAGAGCTTGGTGTCGGTAACACCAAGGTCATGGGTTCAGATCCCAGCACTGGCCAGCTGCCAAAAATAAATAAATAAAATATAGATACATTTATAGAATAGATAAAATCATGAAAGGTGAGAGGCTGCGGAGTCCTCTCCTGTAAGAAGTTCAAGTGCTTGCATGCATTCTGACACCATGTGGACTGAAGAGATGAAAATAACTTCCATTATTTGTTCACTCACTGCTCTTCTTTCCCATATAGTTGATATTTACAAGCACATACTGACATCTATTCATTCCAAGGAGGCTGTATCAAAGTTACATAGATTCTAATGAACTAAATATTTGTGAAATTAATTTTGCCAGTTCCTATGACTCTAAGAATTCTCTCTCACGCCTTCCAAAGGAGTTTCACAAAGTCCTTGCTTCTGCACGCAAACTGTCCCGTTG